ATTAAATGTGGGGTTTTTTTATCTAATATTCTCTCTTCATATTTTCTTCTTTCTTTTTCCTTTTGTTGCTTGGATTGAAACTTCTGTTTTTTTTGTTTTTAGTTTCAGGTGTCTCGGATCTGCAACATTTTACTTTCTCTCTCTTTTCTTTAATCTCCTGTTTTTTCCCTGCATCTTTCACTCTTTCTTTATTGCTTTTTTTCTAAGTTTTTTTTTTTGGGTCTCAAATCAAATAACTCTTGATACACGTTAGGGCTGTGCATGGGCAGGGTCGTGTAGGGCAATCCATTAACCCGATACCCTGCCCCTAAATGTCTTCGGGCAAAAAAACTATGCCCAAAGCCGACCCTACCCGAAAGATGCCCGACTTTGGAGGGGCCGGGCGGGCAGGGTCGAGCAGGGATCGGGCACCTCGGGCAGGGTCTCCAACCTTGCCCTACCGAAATAAAAAATTAGAACCATCCACACAAATCTAAAATACACTGTAGCAAATTAATTATTTCCATCAATAAATCACTTCAAGCTCTTATTTTAAAAGTAATAAATTGTTAAATATCACTAGCAAAAATATTATAGTGTCATCAAAAAACTTAATGGCAAAACAAATATGGAAGGAATTTTTCATGCAAGTCACAAGTGCTGTCCAATTCCAAATTCTAAGAAATATAAAAATATTTAACCTAAGGTTTACAAACTTGATCATCAAGGCATCTAAAAAAAAAGAACTACCATTTATGTCCCCATCAAATTAAAAAATTATATCCTAAATTATTATTTTTATAAAAAAATATATTATATCTCGGGCCGGGCAGGGTCAATTGGTTGGATACCCCAGCCCTAAACCCTGCCCAACCCGAAGATCGGGCTCAGCCCGACCATGCCCAAACAGAATTGGGCAATTTTTTTAGGGCTCGGGTTGGGCATATTTTGCTCGGGTCGGGCCGAGCATCTCGGGCTCATGGGCATCCTGCACAGGCCTAATACACGTTAAGTTCTTATATCAAGTATGTTCAGGAACTGCTTATTTCGCTAAAATAATTTAAACCGCTTGATTAAATATATTCCAGATTTTATATATTTTTAATATACTTTTTTAATTACTAGATGCGAAACTTTTTTTTTTTTTAAAGGACAATGACAGCAATTTGTGTGGAGGATTAGTGCACAAGACAGGGATATATGCATGGCGATGGAGGCTGAAATGTAGAGCAATGGGAGAAGGATTTAAACTTTTGAAGCATCTTGGCCACAAAAAAGATTCATATTGGAAAGTGGTTGGGGGCGAGCAATCAAGCTCCATGACAAGACAATTATCACTGGGAGACCGATTGCAGGTTAATTCGTTTGGCACTTGATGAGACGGGACACCATGGGAGATCGAATTCATTGAACCACTCTAATCAAAGAGGCTGGCCCATGTGCCATTTGAATTGCTTCTCACAGCCGTAGCTATCGTTGTGGGCTTGGAGTCGTGACTTGTGAATGAAATCGCATGTAAGCTTGCGTGTCTTGTCGATTGATAGCAAACTCAACTACGGAATCCAGTCATCGGTGAAAATGGAATAGGTTTCCTCCTTGAAGTATGTTTGGTTCACAAATCACAAGATACACGATTCTCACGGAATTTGTTTTCTTGAGGGGGGGAGGGGGGAAAGAATTGGATTTCATGTTAACATGTGTGGAATCCAATTCTTTTACATATATCTGGTCATTGAAAAAAAAAAAAAAAAACTTTCTCACATAACCTATATTTGCCCTCTCCCCCTGCCCTTCAAGCCACAGCTAACCTCCCAACCTTCAATGCGTCGTGAATATTCTTTGCTGCTGACTGTATATTTAAGTGATGGGTTAGTCAGACTTATCATTTAGGTCATTATTTTTCACTCCATGACGTGAACTTGTGATAATCGCTAACATCTGTACTCTTTATCTATACAGTGACAAATATTAATTTGTGAGAGAATTGTAAAGAGGTCTTACACAGCATATTTATTTATAAATAAGTTTTATAAAATTTAGAAATTACAATCAAATATTATTCAAGGTGTAATTTATGATTGGGATGTAAAGATAATACCACTCATATTAATTTGACTTTTACTTATAGCTCAACTTTAAAATTTACAAGTAAAAACTTGTAATCCACAAACTAAATTTTATATTTAACACTTAATATTTATAATTTTTTCTAATTTGTTTTGCAATCAATAATTACTATCAATAATTAAAACTCTAACTACTTATTTTGTCCAACGAATTACTCCGAGAATTTAGAAGAACGGGAATTGTGACATGAGTTTTGTAGGAAAAATGGATATGCAATGCAATGTTTTCACCGATAGTGATATTATATTTTAAAAGTGAGTTAAATTTTAAACTTAAATAAATAATCAAAGAATCATTAAGCACACGCAATAATCATATGATAGGAGAAACTAGCAAGACACCTCACCTTATTTAGTCAAATTATAATTAGAATTATAATCTCAAACGATGTTGATCAAATGAAAGAAATAACTCCGAAACGACGTACATGTGTTGAAACTCAGTTACGAGAATATACAAATTTCAAGGCAATAACAATTATACTGCATATTAAAATTAGTTGTCCCATGAACTTGTCCATATGTAGCGTGATTAATTAAAACTCCAAATAATTTTTTCTATAAGACCAAATAATTTTTATTAAGAGCCATGAAAATTAAAATTCAAATGAAGGGCCAAAATATATTTATTTGACTATTCATGAAACACCGGTGTGATTCCTAATCGGGCGCTTTTTGTATCAAATGCGTGCAATAATTTTTTAAAGTAAATTGAGCGTCGCCTCGCACGATTGACATGCACGAGGCAGGCTCTGTTCACACAAACAATCGTAAATTGTTGTAAAGCAAAGTGATGAGGCTAGGAGAGAATTTTCATTAAATCTTCCCAACTTGATGTGGGCACGTTCAAGATACTCAATGCTCCCCCCAAAAAATGCACAAAAGGGCAAAATGTCACAACAAACTCGGTGGGCAAAATAGAGTGGAATTATTGTAGAGTATATATTTAATTAATTTGGAATTTGAATTATCCACATCAGATTAAAAATATTTAAACTTTATTATTTTTTATTTTAATATTCTTGATTTAAAGAAGTGATAATGAAATTAAACAGTTTCAAACTCAACCATAAGTATAATTATAAAAAACTTAAAAAAAGCACAAGGAGATATATTATTTACATGTAGTGAATGGTTTGGCTCTCAACCACAAAATAGAAAAAGTGCCTGAGCACGTCATATTCTTCCCACACAAAAGATGCCTGAGGCCCTGAGCAAATATAGCGTCCTATTCCATTTACATTTTTCATCGCACCAAACCTACTTTTACAACATATATATTCCCGTTCGTTTTCTTCTTCCTTGTTCTCTTCTTTTCTCTTTTTCATCATAATACTTTCAGCAAAAATGGGGTATCGGTATTTCTAGCTATTGATTTTAAAAATAATTCTAAGAACTTGATGACTTGATCCCTAAATCAAATATTATTATTATTATTTTGGTAAATTCAAATATTATTTTTATTACAAGAAAAAACAATCTAGAACACCACAACTGTTACTCTACTTTTTTTTTGGTAAAAGATCAAATTTTATTCATTACTAATGCATTACTACAACACATACTTAAAAAAATGATCCAATCAAGTGATGGAGCCCCGGGGGGGGGGGGGGAACAAGAAGCAATTGAAACAAAACAGCAGACAACATAACTGTTACTCTACTGTGGATGTGGGGTTTTGTGCCTTTGTTCTTCTCGCCCTGTTTTTAATAATTAAAAAAATCAAAACTACCCTGGCCACTGCAATTGTATTCTTGTTAATAATCAAATTAATAATCATGAATAATTAATAAATAAGTCCAGACTGGAAGGGTGCATGGATTTAGAAAATACTCAAAACAGTGTACCCATCCGTTTCTCAATCGACAGCGATAGATTGCGGTCTGCCACTGGTCTCCGCATTCATCCACGTAATTCTTTTTGGTTTATTCCTCGTTCATACTGCAATCTAAATGCCTAATCAAATAAAAATTGTTAAAATAAAAAATGCACGTGAAAAAGAAACAATTTTGTATACATTCTTATCTCTCCGATCTTTATTGGGCCGACGACACTTATCATTGCCCATGTTCTGGGGGCCCCAGTTGCGCAATAAACTCATGACTTGGTTTATTTTCACTCTATTTTTTACTCCATCATGCCTTTACTATAAATTTAAACTATTTAGATTAAATTTTAATAATAAAAATTAATTTATTTTTTTAAAATTATTAAATTTAAATGATCAAATTCAATTTAAAGATTTGGATTTGCAACATTCCTTCCACTGCAGTAGAAAGAAGCCAACTCTATAAACTCAACAGCAAAAGTAAATACAAACAACCCTGTTAGGCAAAATAAAGTGGCATTAGTTATCAAAAAATAAAAAATAAAGTTGCATTAGTTATTAAAATTATATAGTGACATTATTACAGAGTATATGCTTAATTTGGATTTTGGATTATTTACATTTACATTCGATTAAAATATGTAAACTTTATTAATTTTGTTTTAGTATTCTTACTCCTTTCCTCTTTTTTTTTTTTTTAATGAAGAACATTCTTACTCCTTTCAGTTGTAATTATAGGGGGGAAAATTTGAAGCCCTATTTGGTTTACCATAAACTAAAATCAATGTCTACAATCTAGTTTATCTATGAATTGCAATTTGACGCAATTAATGAAAGGTAACATTAAAAAAAAAATCCGTACTCATTATCGTTGGAAGTTGGAAGTAGAGATTTATGTATGCTTTGTTGAGATTATTTTTAATTAGTCGTAAAAGTGATAATGATAATGATAATAAAAGCTAAGGGACTCTTTGATCTGTCTGCCACAGCCTTATGTCATCAGCATTATCACCATGAGCTGCCGTCACGTAATAGCACTGGCACTACATTGCTGCCCCACCATCCATGGCCAAAAAGCGAGATACACACTATGAGATTTTTAGTAAGAGGCACAGCCTCTGTTATATCGAGAGAAATTGAGAAACGCGTTGAGATTTGTGGAGTTATAGAGATCAGGGTGAAAGGTTAAACATTCTCACGAGTTTCCACAGACCCCCATGGATTTTTCTGTAAGCGGACAAATTCTTGCTCTGCATTCTGCTCTCTATCTCGGTTTTGTTTAATTTTATGCAACGTATTATTCATTTCACCATATTTGTCATCGAACAGAACTCGGGTTTATTGACGGTACGAGAACTAATCCGCCGAGCGTTCCTACCATGCATGGCTATAATCGAGGCTTTGATATTCAATATGACCGAATGCTTCAGTTTTCGTCGACGCGTCCAGAAATATCGATTCAGGGACAAAGATCTGGCACAGCTAGCTGGCGAAACAAGATGTAATTCCTTCCTTCAGAAGACAACGTGATTACGTCTCGTCTTATATTTCATCTTTATCTCTAATCTAATTTTTCTTTGCGTCTCTCTCTCTGGAAGCAGTATGCTTGTGAGAACGAAAGAACGATAGAATTCTCCAATGAACTATCTTCTAACTATAATAAAATATGGGGAACAGGGGAAGGGTTAAAAAGTGCGAATAGAACACCCGTACTTCCTGGCCAATCCCATTTCTTGCGAGGAAAGAAAGAGACTTTATTTTATTTTATTGGATTTTTATACCCATTATTGAACTATTTTACTTCTTACGTTTTAGAGTAAGAGTGCAAATTCCTTCATATTTTAATAGCTTGTTTATGTGTACAATATTTTAGGCTTCATGTGAAATTAACAGCTGGGTAGTTAATTACCCTGTCTCTGTCCCTTTTATCATTGAAAGAAAAATTTCAAAGAAGGAAGAGTGAGCTGCTAGCTCCGATAGACAACTTGCACTGCTTCCCCCACCTCCCCCCCCCCCCAAAAAAAAAAAAAAAACACGAATGATGGATCTACTAATGGGGTTCAGGACTCTAATAAGATAGTAAACGATAACAAGCTACCCTGTACATTTAAGATGCTCCTTTTGTCATTTGATTGAAATCTTCCCCTCCGTAAGAATGCCCTAATCTCATATAAACTCAGATTGGCATCAAGAGGGGATAAAAAGTTCCGAGTTTGAACATTTCAGTTCCTCAGTTTAATGGTTAAAGATGGGATGAATTTGTCTTTTTTTCCCTCTATTTTTTGTGTACGCTTGAATTATCAAACTTGTGTTATATTCCATGTCAGATTCCTTTTGCGCCCCTTGTGTGTGGTAAATAATAGATTTAACTGATAAGCTTTGCTTTCGATGATACTGCAGTTGCTGTTAATGAAGTGGAGGCATTGTCAGAGCTGTTTAAGAAATTAAGTAGCTCAATAGTTGATGATGGTTTGATTCAGAAGGTAAATTGATCTGTCAAATGGAATGGATATTGATAGTTTTTAGTAGAATTGAGAAAATAGGTTGAGCGTACAGACTAACTTGTTTAACCCGCTAAAATTGATGGGCTGAGTTAATCCAACCTGCAAAATTAACAGGTTAAACAGGTTGGCTTATAGGCTAGCATATTTTTTTAAAAAAATTATTTCTTAATCGTAATATATTTTTTTATAAATTTATAATAATGATAATATTTTTCAAATCTATAATTTATGACTCCCAAATATGTTCTTTGTATTTAAAAGATATTGTAAATCTTTTTTATAATTTGCAAATGAATGTTTTTTATAGTTTGTAAATTGATAATTTATTAGTTTTTATATAAATATTTTGTATATATATTATTTGTTAATTTTATAAGATCTATTGATTGAAATCACAAATATGAAGTTACTGAAAAAATAATAATATGAGTTTATATTTAAATTTTCTTTCTCAATAAGAAAGATAACACATTTAAGTGAAAAGATGATTAATAGCAAAAATCTAACAAAATGAGACAACCTTTATATATATATATATATATATATTCAATTTAAAAAATTTAATTTTTTCAAAACCTATCTAAACCCAACTCAACCCATGGGCTAGCCTACTAAGCCATTTTTTTCTTTTTTTCTTTTTAATTTGGAGTGGTGGGTGGTAGAACTTATCTTTTCTTAAGCGTGCATGCGCGCGCGCGCACAAACAGGTTTGTATAGCACTAGGGGGAGATGATGAAATTTCTAGCTTTTTACACGGTTGTATTATGAAATTATTGTTTAATCTGTTTGTACATGGTTCATAGTTTTGAGTTTGACAATTAATAGCATTATTTAAGCTGTTGATATGTTCTTTATTGAAAAAAAAATAAATTGTCAATCTATTTGTGTGTGGTTCATGATTTTGAGTTTGACAACTAATAAGATTAGTTAAATTGTAAATATGAGCTTAATAAAGGGAAGGTGAAAATGGTTTTGTATGTGCAAGTTTTATCTCTTACATGTTGAAGAAAATGAAGGAAAAGACTTAATAATAGTATTTTGAACATCGTGTTCACTTAAAAATTGAATTGTTATTAGTTTAGAGTTTGAGTAAATTTTAAACTCAAGTAGCGTGTTGTTAAATAATTTAAATTATAGTGGCTGTATTTAGATGTTTGTTAATTGTTAATTTGCCATGGGGTGTGGACTAAAATTTGCTTGATAAAATTCTATATTTATTTTATTTATTTACAAATTCTTTAATTATTAATTTGCCTTAAAATGTGGACTAAATGTATATATTTATATTATATAAATTTTAAATTGTTAAAGAAAAAAATTTTAGTAAATTTTTGGAGTTAAAAAATGGGTTGAGTTGGGTTTTTTAACTTTTATTTAGAGAGTTAACTCAATCTAACCTGCAAAAATGCCAGCTCGTGTGAGTTTATCCATAACCCATTTGTCTAGTGCTATTTTTATGTGCTCCAATACCTGAGTTCACCACTTCTGCTGTTGTTTTCTACTTCCCTAACACTTGAGCTCTAATTACTAGTATTTTATTTGAAATGTTGAAAATGATTTTGATAAAAAATAAAAATAAATATTAAAATAAAAATAAACTTTAAAAATATGTTTGATATATTTATAAAATTAATAATTTATTTTTATTTAATATTAATTTTAAAATATAAAAAGATTAAAATGTCCCTACCTCTGAAAAAAACTTGCCTTATATAGATATTACAATCACCATCGCAAGTCGCAACCCAGATATCAAAATTACCATCTAATGAAGCAAAACTATAAATAGAAAATCAAAATCTTGGCCTTCATATTTGTTCTCTATTCCTCCATCATTAGATCCTCACAGGTAACGATGTTGTGAGGGCAGTAAGAGGGAGTTGTAGAGGAGGAGAGAGACGAAAGAGGTGGGTCGTTGTCGCTATTATTTCTAGTTCATCTTCATCGCTGTTAGATCCAGAAGAAGGGGGTCATCGCTGGCAATAAGGGAGTTCAGAGGAGAAGAAGAGATGAAGGAAGAGGTGGGTCACTGTCGCAATTAGTTCCAGTTCATCTTTGTCGCTTTCAGATCTAAAAGAAAGGGGATCATCGTCGGCAATAAGGGAGTTGCAGAGGAGAAGAAGAGACGAAAGAGGAGGTGGGTCATTGTCGCTGTTAGATCCAGTTCATCTCTGTCTCTTGCTGTTGTCAGTGTGGAGCACTGTGGAGGTTACCGTAGTTGCCGTCGAGTTGGTTCTCTTGTTGCCGCCCCTATTGGGGTGGTGCTCATGGTCAAGTGTGCTGAGATGGAAGAAGTGTTGGAATATTTATATATATGAATTTATATTAATCAATAAGCTCAAACAAATTGATCTTTATGATTTTGTGTGGATTGTAATAGGTGGACCACACAAGTGAGCCCAGTAGGTAGAGGCTCAGTCTACAACCCAATAGCTGTCAATTATTCCCTATTTCTTAATTGACTAAGTTAGAGATAATGAAATATAATTAATTAATTATTTAATAAAGGAGTTACTGATCAGATCCTTATAAATCGATCAATCAATAACCACTAAACACACATGATAGCTTTCCTTGACTCTATTATCTCTACACTTTTTGAAGACTACGGAAGTCCAGTAGGTTATGCGTCTATCTACACTCGAAGTAATTGAGGTGTCTCTAGCAAGCGATCATGAATTCTTCAGATACGCACCACTCAATCTTATTTAATACATGAATTGAGATATAAAATTAACAGGAAGGGTATAATGGAAAAGATGAGGTGAGAAGGCTAACGGAATTTGGGCTCCCATCGTTATGAGATGGAAATTAATTCCATCAATTTTGATGGCAATGACTTCTATGTAGAAGCTAAATTCCACTCATTTTTTCCTAACCAGACATGTAAAATTTTGAATTCCATTTCCATCCTCTCAATTCCACCATAGCAAATGGGACCTAGGTGTTTCTTCTTGGTTTGAGTTTGTGTGACTGTCCATGTTTGTCTTTGTGTGAGAGGGAGAGGTTTCCAACTTTTTTCAGATAACTCCCTTGTTGCCTTGGTTGATCATTAATGGACAGTATGTTGATGCCCTGCTTTGAAGTTTGTGTATTTTGGTGATTCTTATTCAGTCTGCTTAGTTGATTGAGAGAACACAACCATGGAGTGTTTTATTAATATAAATATGCTTTGTAAAACTGTTGATGTCTTAGCATTTTCAAATCATCATTAATGTTTGCAGAACAATTGTTTGAGTTATATCTCAGATTTAATTTTGTCGCTCTGCATTTAGAAATACAGTATTAGTATCTTTAAAACCTGCTTAGTTTTATGAACTGGCAAGGTTTGTTTATGCTCCCCTCTCACCCCACTAAAATAAAAAAATTGCAGTTAAAAAGGTATATTAACACTGTACTTATCATTATCACTTTTTCATATTAAGATCGAAAAGCAATATAATTTTGTATGATGAATCATCATATAGTAAACATTTACCCCGAGGATTGTTTACTATCCGTATGCGGTGGCTGTAATACTGAGTATATTTTTTCTACTGTAGGAGGAGCTTCAATTGGCAATATTTCATACCCCACAGGGAGAAAATCTTTTCCTGGATCGAGTGAGATATATTTTTTAGCCCCGCCATTTTCTTCATCCCAGCTGCTATTAGAAATGAAACTTAATTTGTAGGAAGATTACAATTGATTGACTGTGATCCGTTTTAGTAGACGGTATACATGAAAATGTACAACTTCATCTGACATTTATAGCTGTTTTAACTTTTTTCTTCCTCAGTGTATTTTGCTTGCTAAGCTTTACATAAAAGTTTCCAGCTTCAATGATTATTGTTGGCTAGATGTTGGAAATATGTCAAACCACTTTAGTGATGCATTACCAACACTTGTATCCTCTTGGACATTTATATGCTGCAATCCTTGCTGCCACCAAAAGGAACAATCAGGTGGTTAAAACCTTTGCTCATGTTCATACACCAACACTTTTCTGACTTTTTTTTTCCATGCATCCTATAATACATGCGCGATTCATTCATTATGTCTTAAATATACCATTGTTGTTAAAAATATTTTTCTCCTTTAGGTTTTCGATCCTTTTCTTTTTGGCCTGAAGGTATTTGATCTTTTTGATGAAAAGAGAGATGGCGTTATCGAGTTTGAGGAATTTGTCCATGCACTGAATGTTTTCCATCCTTATGCCCCGGTAGAAGAAAAAATTGATTGTACGTTTGTAGCCAAGTCAATTTCCTTGCTTCATGCAGCCGAACTCCAACTTTTCTTCACCTTATCTCTTTACCCTGATTATCTTTTGCAGTTGCATTTAGGCTATACAATATAAGGCAAACTGGGTATATTGAACGAGAAGAAGTGAGTGTTCTAAGTTAATTCAGGTGTTTGTAATTGTTAAAATGCCTAATGTTTAAGTTAATTTATTTCTGCTGGTTATTTTCTAGTCTTGGACTTACAGTTTTGGTTTCAGGTCAAGCAAATGGTTATGGCCATCTTGATGGAATCTGACACGAATCTGCCACATGAGTTTGTTGAAGCTATTGTTAACAAGGTCAGGTTTGTTTCAAATGTGAAAAATATAGTTTCAATGGGGCAGTTTGTTCATAGAATCTTCTTCTTCCCTGTAGACTTTTGCTGATGCTGATAAGGACAATGATGGTAGAATTAGTAAAGAAGAATGGACAGATTTTGTGAGTCAAAATCCATCTCTTTTGAAGAACATGACACTTCCATACCTTAAGTACGAACTTTATGCCATTATGCCCTGTTTTTAGTTTACTATTACATTCTCGAATTCCCCTTCTAGAAAGACTCCTTTTGAGGCTAATCTCCTACTTTAAAAAAAATGGAAAATGAGGCAGAGTGCGTTTTGGCAGCCCTTTCAAACTTCTGAATGTGATTGTGTTTCTTCATCGTCTCCTAGGGATGTCACCACTCTGTTTCCGAGTTTTATTTTCGACACCAACATTGAAGCTTGGGAATAAGAATGATGTTGCGGCGAGATAAATTAGGTCACAACGGATAGGTAAAGTCATTGCTGCTACTCATCAATACCCAATTTGGAGATTTATCAAAAAGTGTGAAGAATTGGTTCTACTTTGTTGCATATTGGTGGTGGTAGGAATGAAATTATTTTCAGCAAAATGTGCGGGTGCCAGTAGGTGTGTCTATGTGCGATGGATTAATTATTTATAGGAGTGACATAAGAAGTAAAAATTTGTAAAGTTTTTTTTAATTAAGAGATGTACTTTATCTATTCAATCGAGCGGATTTATTTTTGTATATCCAAAACTTTTAGGAAAATTTTTGAGGTTTCGTTGCTGATTCCTGTTATATTCATGTACAACTTTTAGAGAGGGTGTCTTTTTTTTAAGGCTTGCTATCATTTTGATTTTTGATGTTGCTGTCATGATAATTTTGTTAAGTAGTAAAAGTTTTATATTGAAATTTCAAGGACATGAAGAAGCAGCAAGTTCTTACTTCATGTTTGGTGCGGGTAAACTCATTGAAGGGATTTTTTTAAAAAGAAAAAAGGTGGATAGAGATAGAATTCTTTATCTTAAAATGTCTAGTACATATTATTGAAGTTATAAAAGAAATAGATACTTCATTCATATGGGTCAAGGAATGGTACTTCTTCTAAGGACAAAGGATGTATTATCAATTTTGCTTTAAGTTCTGAAACATTTTAACTATTATATCTTATATGATTTAAGATATTTTAAGTGTTAAATATAGAGCTATTCCTTTATATAAGTAATAGAATATAAGCATTGTATAACCGTGATTTTTCATATAAGCAGTGTGCTAATTCAACTCTTAATCATCCAAGTCAGTCCCACTTAGGTAAATGTCAGTCCATGACCCTGCTTCTCTCAAAATGATCCCCCAAAAAAATACCAAAAGAGAAAGAGTCCCGCTGCATTAAATTGTAAACTCGCTTATTAGGACTCCTTTTTTTTTTTAAATAAAGTAAAATATTATCAATCTATAAGAAATAACTCCGAAACGATGTACATGTGTCGAAACTCAGTCATGAAAATATACAAATTTCAAGGCAACAATAATTATACTGCATATTAAAATTAGTTGTCCCGCGAACTTGTCCATATGTAGCATGATTTAAAACTCCAAATAATTTTTTCTATAAGACCAAATAATTTTTATTAAAATTAGCTATTGATTAACCAAAATCAAATATTATTTTTTTTTGGTAAAATCAAATATTATTTTGAGAAATATCAATGAAGGACTACTAAAATAATTTAAAATCAGATAAGGACTTGACAAATTGAATACTTGTAAAAATTTAAACTTTTACTCATCAATTATTAATGTTTACTTGTTACAAGTCCCTGTCCGATATTAAATCATTTCAAAGGCCCTTAATTGATATTTTCCTTATTATTTGTATTACAATAAAAAATTCTAAAACACTACAACTGTTACCCTACTCTTTATTTTTTTGGTAAAAGTTCAAATTTTATTCATTACTAATGCATTACTCCAACACATATTTACTGTGTGTTTGGATAGAACAAATAATCAATTTTTTGCATAAAATAATTGATTTTAATGAAAAATATCAAAATAATACTAATCGATTATTATGGCTGGAATCACGTTTGGTAATAAGCTTCAAGAAGGAGCTTTTTCTCAGATCAATTTTACTATTATAATATTAATTATCAATAGATACTCACCTGTTAATGAAAAAATTATATCTAGCTCTTTTTTAAGAGAATTAATCATAGACAAGAATCAATAAAAAATGAATTGATGTTAAAATAAAAACATAACTTACTTTTTTTTAATGAGACTTGTCATTGGTTTTTATTTATAATAAATTTTTTTAGAATGGGCCTGGATGTAATTCTCCCCTTGTTAATATTACCCTTAGTATTACACGTGATTCTATTTTTCTCGTCTTATCTCCCGTCTCTCATCTCTCATCTCCGATCTGTTGGTCTTCGTCCACCGTCGATCTGGTCTACGGAAGAAGGTTCGTGTGCTGGCGCCGTGGTATAATTTGAGCTACAGGGTCCAAGCCAACAGGACTCCGTCATCCGCAAAGGCTCACGGGAAGGACGTGTGAGGCTACGCGGAGGTGAATGCAGAGCATGGCGAGTTGATAAATGAGGCAATGGCGTGTGATGCTCGGAGAGGGATGAGGGAGATCGTGGAGCACTGGCGAGAGGCATTCGAAGGGGTAAGGTCGGTGGCGGACGTGGGCAGAGGGAACGGAACCGCCATGAGAGTGCTGGTGAGGGCATGCCCTTGGTTGAGATGCGTCAACCTGGCTCTTCCGCATGTAGTCTCGGCGGCTCCCAAGTGTGACGGTGTGGTGTACATGTGAGGCGACATGTTGGTGAGCGTTCCGCAAGCAGATGTTGCTTTTCTTATGGTACGTCGTCTTCTCTTGGACATTACAATGAACGAATTATATGATGAATGAATGAAACGGCGCAGTGGGTGCTGCATGAAGGGGGAGACGAGGAGTGCGTAGAGATCTTGAAGAGGTGCAAGGAGGCGATAGAAGAGAAGGGAAGGGTGATCATAGCAAAGGCAGTGATCGGAGAAGGAGAAGGGGAGGAGCTCAAGGAGGTGATGCTGATGCTGGACATGGTCATGATGGTTGACACCAACATCGGTAAGGACAGGACCGTGACGGAGTGGGACCACGTCATCACGGCGGTCGGATTCTCCACCTTCACTATCCGCCATGTCCCTTCTTCTGTCAAGTCCCTCATCTTCGCCTTCCCCTGATGACCAAGTGGCATTTTTTCTTCTCTTTTATTTAGATATGACTCGTATGAATAATGTAATTAAAAATCAATTTATATATTATTTGTATTAGTTATTATAAAATTAATATTTGGTATTTAAAAATTAAATTTTTTTATTAAATTTATTTAAACTAAGATATATTGAGTTATTTATTTACGTAAATTAAATTATTAATATTAATATAATTTAATTTTTATACTTAATTAGATATATAATTTATATAATATATTTTACTTCTTAAATACTATTTAATAAATTTAATAATATTAAATAAAAATTTATTACATAATTTAATTTTAAAAAGTAATGTTTTTTTATGATAATTTGTACAGTTAAACTTGATTCTTATTAAATTATCCAAACATTTTTAATTATATTAAAATTAATTTTAAAAAACAGTATATAAACAGATTGTATTATAATATAATTAATTATAATTAAAATCAATCATATTAATTAATTATTTTTATAATTTATTATATCCAACTGAAATTCAATTAGGTCATTAAAAAATAATCTAATGAAGTGATGGAGCCAGGGAAAAAAAAAAGAAAAAATTGAAACAAAACACCAGACAACATAACTGTTACTCTACCGTGGATGTGGGTTTTGTGCCTTTGTTCTTCTCGCCCTGCTTTTAATCATTAAAAAAAAAAATCGAAACTCCCCTGGCTACTGCAATTGTATTCTTGTTAATAATCAAATTAACACGAATAATTAATAAATAAGTCAAGACAGGAAGAGTGCATGGAATTAGAAAATGCTCAAAACAGTATACCCACCAGTTGCCTCCGCAATCATCAGCGTAATTCTTTTTGGTTTATTCCCTGTTTCATATTCATACTACAGTCTACATGTCTACTCAATTAAAAATTGTTTAAAGTAAGAAATGCATGTAAAAAGCAACAATTTTATATACATTATTATCTCTCCCATCTTTCTTGGGCCCACGACACTTATCATTACCCATGTTCTAGGAACCCCAGTGGCGCATTAATCTCAATGAACTCATGACTAGGTTTATTTTCACTCTATTTTTTCCCTCCAACATGCCTTCATTATAAATTTAAACTATTCATATTAAATTTTAATAATAAAAATTAATTTATATTTTTATAAATTATTAAATTTAAACCATCAAATTCAATTTAAATATTTAGATTTGCAAAATTCCCTCCACTACAACAAAAGATAGCCAACTTTATAAACTCAATAGCAAAAGTAAACACAACCAACTCTGCAGGCAAAATAAGGTGGGATTAGTTATAAAAAAAAAAATAAAGTTGCATTAGTTACTAAAATTATATAGTGACATTATTATAGAGTATATGTTTAATTTGGATTTTGGATTATATTAAAATGTGTAAACTTTATTAATTTTTTTAATATTCTTACTCCTTTCTTTCTTCTTTTTAATGAAGAATATTCTTACTCCTTTCAGTTGTAAAAAAAAAAGAAAGAAATTGAAGCCCTATTTGGTTTACCATGAACTAAAATCAACTTCTACAATGCTAGTTTGTCTGTGAATTACAATTTGACGCAACTAATGAAATATAATATTAAAAGAAAATCCGTACTCATTATCGTTGGAACCTGGAAGTTAAGAGATTTATGTATGCTTTGCTGAGATTATTTTAAATTACTCAGTAGTTGTAGTTGTAACAGTAGCAGTAGTAATAATAATAATAATTAAAAAAAAAAAAAAAAGAGCTGAGGGAATCTTTGACTTGTCTGTCACATTCTCACATGTCATCAGCATTATCACCATGAGCCGCGGCCACATATTAGCACTGGTAGTACATCACAGCCCCACCATCCATGGCCGAAAAGCGAGATAAACCCGATGAGATTTATAGTAAGAGGCACGGCCTCTGTTATCGAGAGAAACTGAGAAACATTCTCATGATTTTCCAAGACCCCCATGGAGTCCTCTGTAAGCGAACAATTTCTTGCTCTGCATTCTGCTCTCTATCTCGGTTCTCTGTAGACATGAATTGTCTCTATTGACGGTTTATATTTGTTTACTTTTATGCATCGCATTATTCATTTCACCATATTTGTGATCGAACAGACGTCGGGTTTATTGACGGTACGAGAACGAATCCGCGGGGCATTCCTACCATACATAGCTATAATCGAGGCTTTGATATTCACTATGATCGAATGTTTCAGTTTTCGTCGATGCGTCCATAAATGTCGATTCGGGGCCAAAGATCTGGTACAGCTGGCTGGCGAAACAAGATGTAATTCCTTCCTTCTTACAATCATTTTCTTACAATCATTCACCTAAGCCGCTCGATAGCTTTGTAGGTCGTTTTACACTTTTTACGGGGCGGTTGAGCTGGTTGTTTTACACATTTTTTTGGGGTCCGGCATGGTCAGTTGATAAAAGAATGGATAGCTGACTGTAAGTCCAGGGGTTGAATTGGATGTTGAGGCGGAAGTTAAACGATCCTTGGCTGGTACTTCATAAATTTACTATTTGAATTCCTTACATTCAGTCAGAAGACAACGTGGTTATGTCTCGTCTTATATTTCATCTCTATCTCTAATCTAATTTTTCTTTGCGTCTTTCTCTTTGCAAGCGGTATGCATGTAAGAACGAAAGAACGATAGGATTCTCTAATTAACTATCTTCGAACTGTTAATAAAATATGGGGAACAGGGAAAGGGTTAAAAAGTGCGAATAGAACACCCGTGCTTCCTGGGTAATCCCATTTGTTGCGAGTAAAGAAAGGGACTTTATTTTAGTTTATTGTATTTTTGTACCCATTATTGAACTATTTTACTTACGTTTTAGAGTAAGAGTGCAAATTCCTTCATATTTTAATAAAGTGGACAATGTTTTAGGCTTCATGTGAAATTAACAGCTGGGTAGTTAATTAACCTGTCTCTATCCTTTTTACTATTGAAAGAAGAATGTTAAAGAAGGTAGAGTGAGCTGCCAGCTTCGATAGGCAACTTGTATTGTTTTTTCCCCCCTACACGAATGATGGACTTGCTAATGGGGTTCAGGACTCTAATTTAATCAGATAGTAAACGATAATAAACTACCCTGTACATTTAAAATATACAAAAGAAGATGCTACTTTTGCCATTTAATTGAAATCTTCCCCTCCGTAAGAATGCCCTAATCTCATATAAACTCAGATTGGCATCAAGAAGGGATAAAAAGTTCCGAGTTTGAACATTTCAGTTCCTCAGAGTTTAATGATTAAAGATGGGGTCCATTTGCCTTTTTCCCTCTCTTTTATGTGTACTTTTGAATGATAGAACTTGTATTATGATTCCTTTTACGCCCCTTGTGTGCGGTAAATAACCGGTTTAATTGATTAGTTTTGCTTCTGATGATACTGCAGTTACTGTTAATGAACTGGAGGCGTTGTCAGAGCTGTTTAAGAAATTAAGTAGCCTAATAATTGATGATGGTTTGATTCACAAGGTAAATTGATCTGTCAAATGGAATGGATATGGATGGCTTCTATGTGCTCCAATACCAGTGTTTACCGCTTCTGCTGTTGCTCTCTACTTCCCCAATATTTGGGCTCTGATTACTAGATATTTCTTCTTGGTTTGAGTTTGTGTGATTCTGTCCATGTTTGTCTTTGTGTGAGAGGGAGAGGTTTCCAACTCTTTTCAGACAACTCCCTTGTTGCCTTGGTTGATGATTAATGGACAGTATGTTGATGCCCTGCTTTGAAGTTTGTGTATTTTGGTGATTCTTATTCAGTCTGCTTAGTTGGTTGAGAGAACATAACCATGGAGTATTTTATCAATAGAAATATGCTTTGTACAATTGTTGATATCTTATAATTTTCAAATCATCATTAATGTTTGCAGAACAATTGTTTGAGTTATATCTTTGATTTAACTAGTTGTAGCTTAGCATATAATGAATTTTGTGGCTCTGCATATAGAAATGTGGTATTAGTATCTTTAAAACCTGCTTAGTTTTATGAACTAGCAGCGTTTGTATATGCTCCCCTCTCACCCCATTAAAAATAAAAAAAATTGCAGTTAAAAAGGTGTATTAACACTGTACTTATCATTATCACTTTTTTATATTAGGATCGAAAAGCAATATAATATTGTTTGATGAATCATAATATAGTAAACATTTATACTGAGGATTGTTCACTATCCATATGCGGTGGCTGCAATAATGAGTATATTTTTTCTACTGTAGGAGGAGCTTCAACTGGCAATATTTCATACCCCACAAGGAGAAAATCTTTTCCTGGATCGAGTGAGAAATTCTCATATTTTCCAGCCCCGCCATTTTCTTCATCCCAGCTGCTATTAGGAATGAAACTTAATTTGTAGGAAGATTATAATTGATTGACTGTGATCCATTTTAAAGATGGAATACATGAAAATGTACAACTTCAGCTGGCATTTATAGCTGTTTTAACCTTTTTCTTCCTTAGTGTATCTTGCTTGTTTCGTGTTGGGTTGCAAGCTTTACATAGAAGTTTCCAGCTTCGATGATTATTGTTAGCTAGATGCTGGAAATATGTCAAACCACTTTAGTGATGCATTACCAACACTTGTATTCTCTTGGACATTTATATTCTGGAATCCTTGCTTCCACCAAAAGGAACAAGCAGGTGGTTAAAACCTTTGCTCATGTTCATGCACTAATACTTTTCTGATTTTTTTTGTCCGTGCATCCAATGATACATGCACAGTTCATTCACGATGTCTTAAATATACCAGTGTTATTAAAATTATTTCTCCTTTAGGTTTTTGATCCTTTTCTTTTTGGCCAGAAGGTATTTGATCTTTTTGACGAAAAGAGAAATGGTGTTATCGAGTTTGAGGAATTTGTCCATGCACTCAATGTTTTCCATCCTTATGCCCCGGTAGAAGAAAAAATTAATTGTATGTTTGTAGCCAAGTCGATTTCCTTGCTTCATGCAACGGAACTCCCAACTTTTCTTCACCTTATCTCTTTTCCCTGATTATCTGTTGCAGTTGCATTTAGGCTATACGATCTGAGGCAAACTGGGTATATTGAACGAGAAGAAGTGAGTGTTCTAAGTTAATTCGGGTGTTTGTAATTGTTAAAATGCATGATGTTTAAGTTAATTTATTTCTGTTGGTTATTTTCTAGTCTTGGACTTACAGTTTTGGTTTCAGGTCAAGCAAATGGTTATGGCCATCTTGATGGAATCTGACACGAGTCTGCCAGATGAGTTTGTTGAAGCTATTGTTGACAAGGTCAGGTTTGTTTCAAATGTGAAAAATATAGTTTTAATGGGGCAGTTTGTTCATAGAATCTTCTTCCCTGCAGACTTTTGCCGATGCTGATAAGGACAACGATGGTAGAATTAGTAAAGAAGAATGGACAGATTTTGTGAGTCGAAATCCATCTCTTTTGAAGAACATGACACTTCCATACCTTAAGTACGAACTTTATGCCATTATGCCCTGTTTTTAGTTTACTATTACATTCTTGAATTCCCCTTCTTGAAAGACTCCTTTTGAGGCTAATCTCCTACTTTAAAAAAAAAATGGAAAATGAGGCAGAGTGAGTTTCGGCAGCCCTTTCAAACTTCTGAATGTGATTGTGTTTCTTCATCATCTCCTAGGGATGTCACCACTCTGTTTCCGAGTTTTATTTTCGACGCCAACGTTGAAGCTTGAGAATAAGAATGATGTTGCGGCGAGATAAATTAGGTAACAACGGATAGGTAAATTCATTGCTGCTACTCATCAATACCCAATTTGGAGATTTATCAAAAAGTGTGAAGAATTGGTTCTACTTTGTTGCATATTGGTGGTGGTAGGAATTAAATTATTTTCAGCAAAATGTGCAGGTGCCAGTGGGTGTGCCTATGTGTGATCGATTCATTAACAGACTAGCTTTGTAACATATGCATGCATTAATTATTTATAGGAGTGACATAAGAAGTAAAAATTTGTAAATTTTTTTTTTAAATTAAGAGATCTGCTTTATCTTTTCAATCGAGCAGATTTATTTTTGTAATCCAAACCTTTCAGAAAAATTTTCGAAGTTCCGGTGCTGATTCCCATTATATTCATGAAAAACTTTTAGAGAGGGTTGCCTTTTTTCAAGGCTTACTATCATTTTGATTTTTGAAGATGTTGCCATGATTATTTTGCTAGCAGTAAAAGTTTTATATTGAAATTTCAAGAACATGAAGAAGCAGCAAGTTCTTACTTCATGTTTGGTATGGGTAAACTCTGAAGATATATATTTTTTTTTTAAAGAACAATGGTGGATAGAGATAGAATTCTTTATCTTAAAATGTCTAGTACATATTATTGAAGTTATGAAAGAAATAGATACTTCATTCATGTGGGTCAAGGAATGGTACTTCTTACAAGAACAAAAGATGTATTATCAATTTTGCTTTGAGTTATAAAATATTTAAACTATTATATCTTATATGATTTAAGATATTTTAATTGTTAAATATGTAGGTATTCTTTTATATAAGTAATAGAATATAAGTATTGCATACCGCGATTTTCATATAAGCAGTGTGCTAATTCAACTCTTAATCATCCAAGTCAGTCCCACTTAGGTAAATGTCAGTCAATGACCCTGTTTCTCTTAAAATGATCCCCCAAAAAAATACCAAAAGAAAGAGAGTCTCATTGCATTAAATTGTGAACTCGCTGATTTGGACTCCTTTTCTAAAATAAAGTCAAATGTTATCAATATATAAAATGATTACAAACAAACCCAAGACCTCTAAACAGAACACTTAATGGCTCAAACATAACAGACTTAAAGAACATAATTATACTTATTATATAGAAAAATTACAACCAACTTTCTCTTGAGAAAATACAGAACGAATTGTTGTTAAAATATAAAACATGATTTGTTTATTTTTTTGAATGAGATTTCTTATTGATCATTATCTGTGATTAATTTTCTTAAAAGAGCCTGACTGTAATTTTCTCAAAAATCATAACAAAACCCAAAGAAGCAAAAGCCCAAATCATGCTGATCTTATCATGCAAATGTTGTTGAGTTGAACTCCCAAGACGTGAAGAACCAACTTAAAAGCCAATTCACAATGAGCCAATGTAATTGCAGCGAGTAAATTGAGCAAATTACTGAACCATATAAGTTTCGATTCAGTGAATCTTCTCTCGCAGGATTTTGAAAGCCAAAGCTTGATGTGAGGAAGCCAGGGCATTGAATGGAACATAGCTACATGAACCAAGGAAACAAAACCTGAAACAGAGCAAACAAAACAGAACAAGACGAGAGAGAAAACATTGCAGCGCAACATTATGGATCTCCATGCACCTGCAATACATGGAGATCCTCAGCAAAAAAGTATGCGATGTTTTTGTGGGGGAAACCTCGCAAAACCCCAATCCTGTTCCATGCTAAAGAATAGCGTCTGCTTGCGTTTAAGGTGTGACCGAACTGAGCTAGTAACAGTAACAAATCCAAGATCAGCAAACTCAGCATGGTTGTTTGGAAGAACCGTACTAGGAGAGATTGCTCTTAGGTGCCCTCCTTCACGATCAAAGCCATGAATAAGATTGGTAAATATGGTCTGATTTATCGAAACAACCTTGGAAATGCCAGCTGACAATGTCCGCTTAGTTGTGGCTCAGCTTAAAGGAGACTGAAAATGGGCTTGCCCATAAGAAACAACTTTGGGCTTCAAAAGAACACCCTTTGCACCAAGTGAGAATAGTTGAGCCCATTAGAGTTCATGACCACCGGCTTGGCAATGCTAAAAATTTGAATCTGATGACATTTAAATGTCGTCAAAGCATATTACCAAAAACAAAAAAAATGCCTTCAAAGCAATGATTATCCTCAACTTTAGGCAGCTTCATAGGTCGTGAATTCCCTTCAAATACATCTAATCTTTCCCAAATCTTTCTTTTGTACGTGGCACCGTGTCGTATAATCGAATCCTTCACAGATGAGTGATCAGCTGAAGCTCTCCTAGACGTGGCACAAGAGAATGACTCCAACATATCCTCATCATGCAAGCTGCCACGTAACATAGAAGGAGATAGGCCAGGACGAGAAGGAACGGTAGAGATGCGCTTAAGAGTGATTCCATGAAACCTGTGAGAGAAGCAATACGTAAGCCCATCAGAAAGAACATCCACTGACTTTGAAAAAACACCATGCTGAACATGCAGGAAAGGATGCAACCGAGATGACTGGTCCCAAGAACGAGAAGTATGTCCAAAGCCACAACAATTAGAACAAAAACGTCCCACATGTTCAAGTTGAATGGAAGTTTACACCACATCACCATTAGGAAGCTCAAATACAAGGCCATAAGAAAATTTAAGAAATTCAGAAAACGAAAGTTTGAACTGAAATTAAGAAAAATTAAGAAAACAAAGGCCCTTGTTTGAACTGAAATTGTGACAATCAAAACACTGAAACTTGCCAAGTAAATTGTCAATATAACCTGCAGTAGATTTGGTATAAAACTCCATCGGTAACCCAATCAAACGAACCCACACTTGAAAAGATGAAAAAGAAATCTTAGAGAGCGATTGGGAGTTGGGACTCAGTCCATGCTGAAACATAGAAAGTTTAACCTTGCAAGAGCCAAGTTCCTTGATATAAAATGAATGCAGCATTCAAGGAGGAACTAAAATAAAGAACATAATATGAACCAATATGTTGAGTCACCACAACATAACCGCGTAACTTCCAATGTAAATTAATTAAAGCCTGAAGCTTAGAAGAGTGAAGCCGATGATGGTCATGAACATACATAAACAGACAATGCTTGCGACAGAAAGCCAAATGAGATGCACTGCAATCAGGTAGATTCATCGTAGAACGAAAACAGCACCACCAAACTAAAAACCCAAACACAGTAGCACACAGAAAGGAAGAAGAAAGAACACCAGAGAAGAAGCACCACCAAACGGAGAGAAAACTCTCCCCTTACCGTTCAATGAACCTTTTTAAATGTGTTATGGGCAAAGAGTAATTCTCTTATTTTTTGTCCAAAATAATTAGGACTTCTTCATATAAATCACTTACAACATTTATAAGTCACTTAACTTTATTTTTATTAAAGATAATCTTTAATAAAGTTTTTTTTTCCATCAATATTTAACGGGGATAAAAGAAAAAATTTGTGATAAAATTTAGTAACTTCACTTATAAATAGAACAAAAAAGTTATCTTCTTTTTGTTTTATAAATAAGACAGAAGGAGTAAAGGCGAAGCATCCTGTCATCAAGCCTTCAATCACTTTTCAATATTGATAGAAAAATTAAATCCATAAAATTTCATAACAAATCTTATAATTACGAAAACCTACAACATTAAAAAATGTAATTTCCCCATAGCAAAAGTCATCTGATTGATTAACTCATACCTTGGTCTACAACGTTGTGTATGAAACTGATCAACAAAATACCCTTTAACTGTAAGGAACAGAACGCTGTTTGTTCACTTCACACTTTCAACATTTCTGTTCCTATATCAATGTACACTATTGAATCTATTATTTGGTGCATCGATGAATATCATATTCATATCCCAAATCACAATATTTTGTAGCTGAAAATTCATTCCACATCAAAATGTATCAGGCACCAAAAGTGACCTTGAATTCAGAACTGTATCTAGCACTCCAATAGATTTTTGACAAGGTAAGTCCCCAAAAGAAACCATTCCATTAAGAGGAGAGAAAATGTGGGCAGCCCCAGTAAAAAGGGCCAGCCAACCACGAAAACTCCAAAGGACACAACCACCACAAAAGGCAAGAAAGATCTTACAATTGAGTGGAGGTCGACCCAGCGGCTCTTGAATAGTATTAAGGCTCCTATATTTACCATGTTCCAACTCATTGATCCACCATAAGAGGGGCAATTCAAACAATTTGCAAGAAATGAATGGCAGTTGAAGGTGAAAAGGTTGTAAGCTTTGCTCTCAAAATACCACACACTTGACTCCAAGGCATCATCCTATGTGATCGCAGCCCCATACTCGGAGCGCCTCTAGCCCTGCTTGCATGTATGTGCGGAGAGATGTGGGGGAAAGCAACACTGTAACATGTCAGATTGCACAATAAACTTGTCAGATAAGAGTTGACACTTCCAAACAGTTAATATTGATTTCAAACCCCACTAGGGTGCAGGGGAGGGGGAAGCCTGAGAAAATGGAATACAAGGATGCACATGCAAATACAACTCCGGACAGTTTCACTCTTTCTTCAAGAGCAAATTGGAATCACTGCACCAGGCAAATAGGTGAAGAGGGGGTGAGGGTAATCTTAGGTAGTTAGGGTAACAACATATCTGTGGCCTGATAGCTCTGGATTGCTAGAAGAAACATGACCTAAATCTATGGATTTGAAATTCAAGATAAAGAGCAAAAATCCAATCTCAATATGTGGTGCTGTGTAATTAAATAAATTGCAATATTTAATATTAATATTAGCCGGTTATGGTGTCTACCCCCTTTGAAAGGGTTATATCAGTAAGCTGAAATAACAAATTGATCTACTTCAAACAATTTTGGACTCCGTTAAATGAAAGAGGAAAGAATAGGAGTTGGTTTTTATTCTTTCAAGCTAGGAAATTTATCATCTCATTGTAAAGCCCTTTCTCTAAAAGGAACTGGTTTGATGGGTTAACATTACTAAGCCCTCTCGTTCCAAATACGAATAGTTCCACAGAGCACAAGACTATCATGGTTGCAGTTAGCCCTGAGAGTTTTTCTCATAAACCAATATTAATGGAATCTGTGTATGTAATGCTTTCATTCGTGAAAGCAACGTCAAGGGAAAATATAAGGCAACAAGATAGGGGAATTTCGAGAAATAGTACCTGTCTCTGATCAAGTTGTAAGTATCTTGCAACAGCACCGAAAGCAAAATCATCAACATTCACAAAGTCGGATCCTGAAAAATCTAAAACAGCTCCATCCTGCCTGCAAATGCCAACATGACCAATGAAGGGTGCCAACCACGAGACAACAGGAAGTGGAGTCCAAACTAAACATGGAAACTTTGCCTTCCTTGGATCAATAGGATCTAGTGGCCAGAGCTCATGTTGCATAGAACTTGAACGCTCAATGTCATAAGTTGCATTCAACTCCATAGTAAAAGTCTATATAGTAGTACAGCATACAGATTTGCTCTCATTTCTGTTGAGATGCGTCGCCAAATCAAAGAACATCTTCACCCATCCCAACCGCTACCAATAAAGTGTATGGCGAAAATCAACTGTGAGAGTTATTATCTCATCAATTCAATCAGATTTTCTAAGCAGGGATGAAATTATGATGGATAGAACTAAGATCTTTCTTTCTTTTTTTCTTCCTTTTTTTCTTTTTGAGAGAAGGCAGGAGGGGGAGGGAGAAGACAATATTCTCTCTGGAAGGTTTGTGGCTATAACTTGATGTTCTTGGTTGTATGTATGTGTTCAGGATTAATCTTCAGCGGAAGTGAGAAATCATACGAGTTTACATCACGTTTGTTAAGGTAACCTGACCTCTAGCAAAGATATCATCTCCCACACTCACTTCTACTTTCCTTCTATTACACTCGTCAATCCTCTGTGCAATCTATATTAAGTTATCCAAATTTTACTCCTTAAGGCTCAAGTTGTTACTTCATTTCATGAAAATATAATAAGCATTTGATGTTATATTAAATGACAAATCATCAACTAAAAAATGATGTTTATTCACATCCCCTCGTATTCACTTATTAATATTTTAGTTTCATAAAACACCCTTATCTAATTTTTTTTAATAGAGTTAAAAAAATGTCAAATACATCTCTTCACAGTCATTGTTAGATCTAAACTTGGAATATGAACATCTCTTGAACCAAGGGATATGGAATGTATCTTTTTAACTAGAAAAGCTATCAATCCTTTAAAAAAGGCAAGTTCAAGGGATATTCTGATTATCTCATTGCCATTTGTAAGCGCAGACAGACGAAAACCCCGATGTCTAATCCCACTGGAGATTGTATAATGGCAAAGTTCAAAGCACACAAAATACTTCAATTGAATTAGACAGTCGAAAAATTAATAGACTTCGAAGTTTAATAGTCCTTACAACTTGTCTGTACAAGAGGAGACTGGAGGACAGCCGATAGAAATGCTGATACAATATTAGGGCAACACGAAGAAACAGCGAGCCAGGAGGAAGATATTGAGGTTGAGGGAGATAACCAACAAGCATAAACGATGCTATTGGTGTTCATTGATGCTAAACAAAATTAACAAGAACTGATACAATTTATTGACAGGAAAACCACTGATATCTAAATCCAAATGCGGAAGCGTTGGAAAAGTCAAAGATCTGTCCCGTTCTCTTAAAAAATTAAACTATTTGATATCGTAGATTTTTACTAGGAATTGATTTCGACAATATCAAGTTCCAAAGCAAAGAGGAAGAAACAAGAAATAGGAATATTCATGAACCTTGTTCATTTCTTCACAACTGGTGGGCCCCACGATACGATCTTTTCCTGACGTTTTTCTCCATTAGTTGAATGCAGGAGGTACAGGAATAGAATACATTATATTGATATAATATCGTATTGATCCAGATTAATTAGAATTAATTGTAACTTCATCCAATAAAAGAAGGGAAGAGGAACTGTACTGAGAGCAATTAGAGGGTTGTTGTGAGATTGGGTGGGTACTCACTGTAGAGATGGAGCTCCCTCACCTTCCGAATTGGAATAAGAAAACAATATGCAAAATAAAATTAAACAAATACCTTGAAGGCTTGAACACCAGCATCAACAGGTACTGGATTCTACAATTTAGGGATGTTTAAGATTGTATTGTACTCATCCTGATCAACTAGTATCTATTTAGGTTATGTCAGGATGGGTTTGTCCCAACCTTAAAAAAATTAAAACAAAATGCTTGTGAGATTAAACATAAAAAGGATTGGATGAGATGAAACTTGAAATATCTTTTAGGATATCTCATCCCGTACTAATATTATATATATATATATATATATATAAATTTTATATGTTAATTATTATAAAACCCTTTGAAACATGGAATAAAATTTGAATCTTGATCATTTTTTTGAGATTAGATATGAGACAGGATGTCTTAGTCCCATTTTGTGAACACCTCCTACTACAAATATGGTAGTTCTTGATTATTTTCGACCAGAAGATAACTCTTGATTAATATGAAGGTTTTGCCCACTATGTTCTTGACCCAGCAATTAAGAAATTATTTCTTTCGCCCAATCCTTCTGAGATTAATTAAATTTCAACACAACATAAATTGTGTTGCTGGAAATGCCATTAAGAGATTTCTCACAATTATACTTCATATTGAAAGAAAAAAAAAACTTTGGGAAAACAACAATTACAGATCATATAAAATTATTAATTACAATTAGAGATATCAAATTATCAAATCAAAATAATAAATCATGATTCTTATTTAGAATTAAAAACATGAGTTTGCAAAATTACCCTTACGTAAATGTAGAAAAGATCTGCTTAAGTCTAGCTTGGCAATTAAAGAAAAATAACTATTAAAATTAATATTATAAATTGAAATTATTATTAATTTTCATTGGAAAAAAAAAAGATCCGAAGAAAATAACTTGACCTTATGAAATACTAGCTTGAAAATAACAGTCCTCCCTGGTTCACCTTCATTTGAATGGAAAGAAAAATATGAAAAAGAAAAACTAGAACAGAAAACTCCTAAATAACTTTTTAGAAATTTATCCTCATAATTTTCTTTCTTTTTTTTCACTTCTCTCTCCATTCAGATAAAGTGATTATAAGTTGTGATTCCACTGTGGACCTCGGAACCACAAAGCACAACCATTTCGTCAAGAAACTCAAGTGCGCAAATCAGCCGAATATACAAATTCCCTTTCTTTTTTTTTTAAAGAAATTACTCTTCTTTCTCGTGTTACATTTCCACAAGAACCCGCAGAGATCGTATGTTTACAATTCCAAACAGGACCTCTACAGACCAAGACCAAATAAATTACACTTTATTTCTTCTTCTTCCCCCCCACCCCTTTTTTCCCTTTCTTTCTGTTTTCTTTCGTTCCCCTCCTTTCCACGGGAATCCTTCAGTTGTAGCTACTTGTACTACCTCATATTACACTTGATAGAGCCTCCCCGGCCGATTTCGCTCAGGAAGGTCTCTATTCTGTTCCGAACGGGTTGTGTTCCAGCCCCCACTTTGAATGAACCGAAACTTCCCTGTTCAGCAATCTCTATACGTCAAAGCAGTAAAAAACTTCAGCTGTTTTGGCTCTTCGAACCCAAGAACAACTTCACGTATTATTACGATAACTATGCACAACTTTATTGGGTTGAGCTCCTATCTTTCACAACCAGATGTTGAAGATGGCGGAGACGAGACATAAGCTGTGAGAATGATGGCCGCAAGTGTGGCTCCCTGCATAACAAGCAAACCAATACAAATCAAACAATAGAACAAGTGAGTATCTAGATTCCTAAAGCATATGTTGACTTATCAAAATCACACCATAAGTAGAACAGGAACACAACAAAACAGCAGTCATCAGTCGTCACACTTGTAAAAGCCTCCCCCCACCCCCCCCCCCCCCACAAAAAGGAAAATGGAAAAAAAAAAAGAAAAAGAAAAAAAGAAGAAGGGAGTTTCATGACTTCGATTGTAAAACGTGATTTTTCTCGAGTTTTCAGTCTTACAGAATTGTGAGCCTCTTGGTCTCACCACTCTAAAGTACATGAAAGGGAAGGACGTGTGTATGCTAACTGTTGCCAGGCGTTTCCCACTAGGTCCTTGGAACTTGAAGCAAAAACTAGTGACCAGCAAAAGATAAGCAAGGGCTAGAACCTACATTTGCCAGCAGTCGCGTATTATTTGTGCTACTACTGGATCAACGTCTTCAGGAATTTCAAGCCGTCTATTTTGGAATCCAACGGCGCCAACAACCTGCATTGGGTTCAACCCTTTCCATGGGATCCTTGCAGTAGCCAATTCCCACAAAATCACACCAAAACTATACACATCACACCTGTAAACAATCACAGTCACATCCTATATTAAACGCACCTGTCTTTCCAAGAATGGGCACGCATAAATGCACGGTTTACTTACTTCTCATTGGCTGGTTCATTTCTTAACACTTCTGGTGCCATCCACTCAGGCTGCAGACAAATAACGCATTTAGTCTTCTTTAAAATAATATATATTCTACAAAGTAGCAGTAATTGTCATTTAGATTTTTTTTTCAAAAAAATATACTTAAGTTGTACGAGCATAACTTATAATTTTTTTTTTAAATATTACTGTTAAGAATTACCGTTCCAGCAGAGGATTTTGAGGACAGAAAGGTATGGTGCTTCATACGTGACAAACCAAAATCACAAACCTATTAAAAGACATGAAGATATAATAAATATTCACCCAACAAAAACAATAAAAAACGAGCAGAAATGGACAACTATTTATAGTTGATCTATTTTTTAAGAGAACAACAAACAGAATGGAAAAAAAAAAAAAGGTGTTTTCAGTAGTCATAGAAACACTAAAAACATTGAAAGCATAAGAATTAGCACCCATTGATAGCATCAAGGGACAGGCAACCCATTTTCTTAGTACAAAAATCTAGATACACAATATCTATTATACTCTTCTTATCTTTTTTTAAGGAACATTATACTCTCGTTACCATTACTCAATAATAATAATAATAATAATAATCCTTTTCTATTATTGTTCTATCAAGGGACACAAATGGCATTTCTCATCCATATATTTTTTCTTCTATTCGCTTTTTCATTTTATTTCATTCTACATACCAAAAAGGTCCTAGGTTTACTTTTCATTTATCATCAACTAGGTTAAAAGAACCAAAATACGATAATGATATGCCCTTCAATTGTAGCAGTTAAAAGTGAAAAAACAGTGATAAATACCATACAGATTGCACCTCCAACGCCTAGAAGTACCATGATGCATGCTGGACACATACCAAACACTATCTAGCATGTCATGCTAAACATGTCCTAAGCGTCAGAATTGAAATGTTAAACTCGTAGGCTGAAGATTGGATGACATATCTAATGCCCTTCTGAATATTGATTGCCAACAAATTTATTCATTTCCACATGCATCATAACAATGATTCATTTTTTATTTGTCACGTGAATAAATGTTAGATGCATTCGTGTAATTAACACAAAATTTACCCTCATCAATTATTTGCAATGAAAATAATTAATTTTACCATTAATATTATTCTTTTACAAACAAATTTTCTCATGAAGGTTGAAATATCCAAGATTTTATTATCTATTTATCTGCATTTTAAATTTTAATGTAATATACCTATTGACCATGGCATGTCGTCTTGTTATGTACTGATGTTTTACTTGGTTGCCATGGTCAATTGTCGTGTGGTATCTCATGTTCAAATCCTAGATTATTAGCTTACAAATACACGTCATATAATAGTACTAATGTTAATCTATACAACTATAAAAAGGAACTCACCCCCATTTCCATTTTTTCTCATCAATAAAAATAATAAAAATAATAACAGATACTGCAAGTCTGTAACTGCTGCCAATGCATTTCCCTCTTTTAAAGGATTCATAATAAAATATTTCACACAAGTGGGCAGACAAAATAAGAAATATCAGAATTGAAATAAGAATATTTAAATCAAACGAAATAAAGAGGACTCCTGCACATGCACAGAGCCTTCGAAGTAAATTTCTAATGCCAATTTATTTGAATCCATAAACATTATATATTTGTTGAATTTCCACATTTCACAATGGAATAAATTCGTTTCTGATGGACACTTCATTCCTTCTAGTTAAATTTTGGCAAGCAAGCCTACTTTTAGATGTTCACTCTTCTGGTTTCACCTCTCTTTGCTGAGTCCTTTTATTTAAAGTTTTATGAAGCAAACTCCCCCAGCAAAAAATTTTAACAAATACCTTAACAACCCAATGCTTGTCAACAAGAAGATTTGGAGACTTCAAATCCCGATGAACAATGGGAGGATGGCTTGTGTGCAAATAATTCATACCCTTAGCCTGGTACAGGCGCAGCAAAGATTTCATCATCAAAAAGTGGAAAAGGAGAAACAAAACAAAATTTAAAAATGATAAATATTTTAAACTCATACCACATCAAGAGCCATTCGCAACCTCCTCTTCTCATCAAGTTCAAAATTGGGTCGATGCAATAGCCTATATAAACTCCCTCTGCATACCATGTGACAAATGTACTATTAAGGAATAGACAAATGATAAATCATTTATTCTAAGATTATTCAATGGTAGGCCAAGTTCCACGTTGGTAGAACTTGAAAAACAGTATCAGCAACACTTGCAGTACAAGAAGAACAAGACACAACTTCCTGAGGTAAACAAGGCTCCAAGACAATACAAGTAAACCAGGCAAACAAGAGTCCATGTCGCTACATCTAATTCCTCACCATAATATTTAACAAAAATCATTTATATGGAACTAACCTTGGAAGAAACTCTGTCAATATAGAAAAATGTGGTGGCCGAGTAATAGCTCCCATGAAAAGAACAACATTCGGATGCCGCAGCCTCAACATGATCTCAACCTATAGAAAGCAGTGGACATGAATGGATGCATATGTGCCTGTGAATACCTCACAATCATAGATGTGGGTATGTGCAGGTATATAATCACACTAAAAGAAAGAAAATTCAGTTGCTTACTTCAGATCTGAACTGCGCCAACACATCACCAGAAAAGTCTTGGTTCAGAAACTTCTTCACAGCAACCTCCTACATGCCAAACAATTCACACAAACTTCCCATATTAGTATCAGCACAAAAGATGAAGAACCAGTAAAGGATAGATATTTCCAGGACAGAAACAAACGCTATGGTGCCAGTGCTTTCAATGGATACAAACAAACTGGTTTTCGCACCAAAAGCATAATAACATAGACATCAAACATGAAAGGGATAGAAAAAAAATAAGAAATTAGTATCAAGCTTATGGCTCCTTTTGAGTCTTCTTCACCAATTACACTTCCAAGAAATATCTTAACTTTGACGAAGACTAACAGGAAAAGGATCAATTATTTACAAGTTTTTGAGATGCAATTCAAGTTCAAAATATACTATCGCATTTTGACTTCTAAACGTCACTTAATTTGCTTTGTTGGAAAAAGTTAACATAATCTCAGTGTCCTTGAGAGCACAATATACATTTCAGAAAATTGCCCATTTTACAGGCGTTCTGACATGAATTCATTAGATTACTCCTGGATAGAGTCATCGATAACAATTCAACACTCATAAAAGGGCAGGAACAAGATAAGTGAGAAGTTTGAAGAAAACTCCACGTAAAAGTATTACCATTTAAGCCTAACCACATTAAAAAAAAAAAATCTTCCAAAAACCAGAACTTTCAATGAAGTTATTCAAAAGATGGACAAGACTTACAGTGCCTTTCCAGTCAGCATGGTAAACCTCACCATAAGAACCTACAGATAAGATAGTGGCATGAGGTCATAGTTGCAACATTATATAACACCACACAAAGCACATTTCCAACCAGGTGATACTTGATATTCATAAATTAATTTGTTACATATCAAGCAACAGTGAATAAATTCCAAATCTGCTTGAATAAGCTAAGATCATAAGATCAGAGTATAATGTCATCACAAGCATCAATGAGAGGCCACTGAGCTTACTAAAAGGAACAAGGCACAAGGCCACCTTCTACAACACACGTAACATTTTTTTCCCTTTTTGGGCCAATCAGTATACACAGATATTTAAGCCTTTATGGAACTTTTCAGGAAGATATTTGTATCCCATTTAAAACAGGGAAATGTTAAAAAAATCAAAATAAAACTAGTATGTGATTTTAAAAAAAAAAACAGTAGAAATCTTACCTATACCAATACGCTCACCAATATGAAGATCCTCCCATAGAATTTCCCATTCTGCACCCTCGCCCAGTACTGACTTAACTTTCTCACTTTTACCATCAGTGAGGTTGCTATCTCTATTATCTGCTTCTTTAAATTGAATAGCAGAATCATTCCCATATTGATTGCAATTAAAAACCACTCCAACTTTATTATCAATACCATTTGCATCATCATAGTCAACCTCAATTTGCCTCTTGCAAGAAACAGCTGCCTTGGTCAAGGAAGAATCAAGAACTTGTTCTTTGTGCATCTTTAGCAGATTGGCAGGAACTTTATCTGCAAACATGACATCACTTTGCTCCAGTTCTTGCTGCTTAGCTAACCAACTAGCAGATTGATAGAATCTAACATCACTGTGAGAGGTCACCCCTTGAGAAGATATGAGGGCCTTTTCAAAGCTTGAATCAAATTGAACAGCATCAACAACAATTTTTCCATCAAGTTGATGAATTTGTTCATAAAATATATTTTCACCTGTATTTTTTTTATTGATATCTGAAAAGAGACCAGGAGAGGGAAATGCACCACTCTCTAATGGGACAGCTCGTAGTTTTTGAGCAAATTCTGGGTTCTTTGCTGCACTAAGGAAATACTCCGACAAATTTTTTACTTGCATCTTATCTGCAGATGATGCTTCTGTATGTGATGTGCTTTCACATGATATATGCATGGACTGAAGGAGATTCCCCAAATCATGTTCAACTCTTTCTGTTTGATTTATTCCACCTTGGTTCCTCGCACCCATTGTTCCTTGACTGTCCACGTTCAATAACTGTTCTGATTGAGCCCTGTCCACTGTTGAAGTTCTATCAATATCAGATGGCACTGCCAGCATTCCAGTTCCACCATCAAGTATGAGATGGGCATTGATAGGTAATTCTGCAATCTCAGCACAACCTGTTACAGCAAAACTGTAGTTTTGGAGCTGATTACTGGGTACTTCGGCAGGAATAAGAGTGCCAGGCGCACCCATCAAATCAATAATATATTCACTGCAGCAGTCCAACAAATCAATAATATCATTAGAAATTATTCCAATACAAACAACAGACCGGTCGTGTTTCCTTATTAAAAGGATACGTGCTTAATAAGGAAGGAAAGATCTCAGATGCATATATGGCCCAATTTCAGGACAGAATGAAGAAAGCTCAAATAGAGAAATATAAAAATGGCAAAGCAACCCATTAGACATAAGTTTCCATCAATGTACTCCTATGGTATATCTGACAGTTTGAATAAATAACACCATTTATCCCTGGCAAAAATGATCATATTCTATGCAATCCATTGCACTGAATCCAGTGCTATACTTTTAGTTACACAAGAGTGGAATATCAAAACATTACTTAAAAAAAAAAAACAAAAACAAAGAGGATCAACTTTCTCAAAGGAGAGGCCAAGTGTTACTTGGTGACTAGGTAGAAATAGGTTAAGAGGATTAGTTGGTAAAGAGACTCCTATTAGCATAAAAAAGAACAGATGCAGATGTAACAAGTGTCTATTGATTGGATAATACAGTTTTACGTTTTCAATGAACCACCAAGTTTACTGAGCATTAAGATACAGAACTACAAAATATATGCGTGAAATAAATTTGCCCTTGGAAGCAATCCTTTTTACTATGATATAGAGCTTTTAACATCCAAATTGACATGATGTGCACACGAGGCTGATTATATTGCCCATTGAACAAAGCTCCTTTAAATGTAATATATATATATAAGGGTAATAAAACCCCACCAAAGGATAATTACCTTCCATCATCAGATCTAATCAAATTCACAGCTCCATCATCAGTTCCAGTGTAGTAGCTCCCTTTGACCAGCATGCAGGGAACATTAATCCTATCAGCCATTACCTAAGCAATAACAGAATGTGAATTCGAATTTATTGAAGTGGATATATTCCCCCAAAAAAATCAAGTGAATTGCTTAATCAATGTTGATATTGAAGGTAACCAGGCAAAATATGGTATTGGAAAAGAAATAAAATGGTTGGCCTAAAAAGAAAAAGAAAAAGAATGGGGAAAAACTGAAAAAGTGACAAAATTTCATTTCAGCTTTTTGTATGTTGCTTAGATAAGTGAATTCTACACAGTGGCTTAATCTTCTTCAATTAGGTTAAAAAGATGACAGGCATCACCTTCACCAGATATGATCATGATATGCATAATCCATTTGATGACTACAGATTAGCTGGACCTTATAAATTAAACAAGAAAAAAATTGTTCTCCAAATAAAAAGCGGGCGATGATTAGAAATTGGACAGATCAATTGTTGCCAATCTATCCATTTCGAATGCACATGCCTCTAACTGTAGGATCAATAAGATTTTACAACCTTAAACAATAGGGCTCGATGGCGAGAAAGTCCAACATCAAGACAGCCAAGCGGAATAACAATTGTCCTCAAAGAATCACGTAACTCGTGACTTCTTGCCGACCACTTTTTCAACATCTCATCAGGGTCGCCAACTGGTCCACCCATTCTATTAACAACAATATCAGCAAGTTTCTGAAGCAAGCCACTTGAAACCAGTCCTTGTTCAGATAAGCAACAGTCCTTGGATACAGCAAAGGCTTTTTTCTCAAGCTGTTTCAGCTTAATATCAACCATACGATTCACCAAAATCACTTCGCAACCAACATTTTCAGAGAGGGAAGCAGTTTGCAGATCCACCAACAATGGCATCTTTCCTCGTTCAGCCAAATTTGAGGAGAATCCATATAAATCATAAAATCCATCCATCACTTTCTCCTCATGATCAATGACATTATAGTTCTGTCGGTGATTAAAAAATTAGGTTAGAACCCATATTTGTATCATGATTGAATACGTTCGATGGCAATATACTAAAGTAAATTCAACATTAAAAAGAAATCACAACAGATAAAAGCCTCTTGGGTTGGTGCAATCCCCCCCCCCTTTTGTAGGGGTGGAGAGAGTCATGTCCAATATGGACCTAACCGAAAATTACTTCCATGTATGCGAACGCCAAAACAAATATAGTTATCAGATATAACCCCACATGAATAGAGCAAAATGAAAATACCAAAATAGAATAATACGTTCCATTATTAGCGACGAGGCGCCCCATGCAATAATAATCAACGTCACCCCAAGTAAGATAAGTAGCCCATTCTTTTTGCGTTCGTCATATGATTAATTGGAAATTACTTCCTGGCAAGTGCATTCGCAAATTTAATTATCAGAAAAATCTATGTAAAAACCCCCCACATTGATGGAGTCACACAAAATTCCACTCGAGAAAATGAAAATGTCCAAAAGGAAACGTCCGGTTCATATTATCAGCGATATGTAATGGCCATATCCCTATTTCTCACTCTAGCATATTTAAGGTTGGAGGTCATATTCGCAACTATAGCCTATAGGCATGCCAAATCAATTATATGTGAAAAAAAGTACCCAATAACGAAGCGATTGAAACTGAACGAGGGCTTCCGTGTCGGTGACGGAAGCTGCGCAGCCGAGGCTCATCTGCTTCGCGGCGTCGATCTGAGCAGACTCAGGGTCCTTGCGGACATCAGTATCGGAAGCGCTAATAGCTAAAGCCAACTGCAATTGAAACTCCTCCTCCAATAGATTAAAATCGGCTCCCTTGTCACCACATAAATCGCCGGTACCATCAATATCTGTCCGATCAGCAACCGATTCATTTGGCCGGACTGTGCCCACTGTATTCGACACCAACGTCGACGAAGACGATGAGAGATTAGGGACAGGACTGGCATTGATTACCGGGCGGGTATCAGGCAACCGGTGAGGTTCATTGATCCCACCACCTATATGAAGCTTTCGCAATAGATGCTTCATTCTGGACATGGATCATCAAGGAGGAGGAGAGTCATTCACTGAGCTTCTCTTTCTAATCTGAAGAAAGCGTTGGGGGTGTCCCAATCCCAACTCTCGAGTCTTCGTGCACCTCCGTAATGGCTTAACCTACGCCCCTTACAAACCGAGCAGATTCGCTTAACCTGCGCACCTTTCTTCGTCAAGCTAACACCACTTGAAGGACTTAAATTAACTGCCCACCCATTCCCTCCAAGGCTTCTTTCCGACAATAACTTCACATATTACCTCTGATTTCCCCTCCTTTCTTCGATTATTAAATTAAAATTAAATATAATCTCATCTTCCCCTTCCACTTCGAAAGAGCCATTGCTTACGGAGTGCATTTAATCCTCACCGTTGGTTAGGTTGACCTGTACCAATTAATATGTCAATGGTGAAAGTGATTCGATTTAATTGACATGCATGGTGAATTGGACAATTTGTATTTACGCCGCTTATTTTATTCTCAATAAATATGTGGAAAAATATTTAATAAAATACAAAATATATAACAAGGTATGTTATTTATAAGTAAGGAACAATATGATTTATTCCATACTTCACGTAATATATGTTATATGAAAAAATATATTTCGTATATGGAAAATTAAAAAAATTCCCCCGCAGCAAAGTATTAAATGATTTTAGCCAAAAAAACTCACATTAAAAAACAAAACAAAAATCCCTCTTCTTCCATTTATCAGTGAATAGGTAATCTTAAATATATTTTGTTAGACTAATATCCGCGGCTTCAAACCAGATAAATAGTTCGTTTGGGAACTCAAACTAAAAATAAAAAGCTTTTGCAGTTCTCCTTTTTCTATTTTGTTCCATTTTTTTTTTTAAAAAAAAAAGCTCCGGCAATCAATCAAGCTTTGAATTGAAAAGAGATGGGGTTAATAAATTAAATTAAGCGAGATAATAGTAAAATATATGAGTACAAGTATAAAGAAGGTGGGGGATAACATAGGAATGATTCACGAATTAAATTGAATGGGTTTGCCGCGATAGGCTGCAGAGATGGAGGGAGAATGAATGAACGAAAGGGATGCCTCTCACTCGTGTTTCAACCCCCAACGGTGTCAATTGGAATCGGACTCCATTCTGCTTGTGATTCATAAAACGCAGAAAATGTGAAAGGTTCTGTAATCATTATCAAAGCTGGATACAATTTTACCTCTTAAAAATAAAATCTTTTTATATGCACAGCTAGATCCAATCCTTAACAATTTAATAAGTATATCCCAAATTATAAGGTAGTAGTGGAAGTATTTCGTTGTTTCAAAATGCAAAATAAATTAATAAAAATAAAATTTTATTAATGATATTTTTTAATACAATTTTTTACTCTTTAAGTGAATAAAAATTAAAATAATTATAAATTTTTAAAAATTTATATTTTTTTTTGAAAAATAAGTTTGTAAAGTATTATTATAAATTTTATTAATGTACATAATATTTTTTAAATTATCTTTATAATTTATATGAAGAAGTGGTATTTAATTGATCAAGTTATTTGTTAACTATATAGTACTTTGTTTTTATTATAGAAGAAACAATCAATTTTAATTTCTTTTTTATATAAATAAAATTATATTTTTTAATAAGCATTTATTATAAATTCTTTAAATTAGCCCTCGTAATTTTTTTCATTCACAGTCATAATAAATAATTAATGAACACTTGATTAACCAAATTAATGAAAGATATTTTAGTTTAAATTTAATTTTTAAACACAATTAATATATTTAACTAATTTTTTAAACCGTATCATACAGTTTTTTCTGCTACAGATAGAAATTGAGGGAGTAACATCTTGTTGGTTTTCCTCCTAATGGCTAGTAATAAATGGCATATCCACTAAACGCGTTATCAAATTATGATTTTAATATATCAATTAAGTTTGATTGTACAAAACTCTTTTGTCTTTTAAGTCTCCTGTAAACAATTTTCTTAAATTCTGAAAGTTGATAATAAAATCTGTTGTTGTTAATTAATTTACTATTTTGTAAATAGAGCTCATTAATATTATAAATTATAGAAGATACCTTGTCTCTTAAGTCAGGAGCAAGCAATTCTTTTAAATTGTTAACCTACATCTTTCTGGCGTCATTGAATAAAAAATAGTCACTTCAGGGCCAAATTAAAGCAAACCAAGGCTGACAATAGCCCGTATGGTCGTGATGATTGATTAAGAATTTGTTTGTTTCAATTTCGATAAAAAACACAGAGAGGAGAGACTCTAAATAATTTAAATTAAAGGTGGAGCATACGTAAAGTTGTGCAACAAATAAAAACATCCGAAATTAGAAGCCAAAGTCGGATGAAGCAAAATGGGCGATGAAAATAAAATCCAAAAAGAAAAAACATGAAAATGATTTAAAAAGAAAAGACTTGAAACAGGCATCATATAACAAATTTATCTATAAATAAGTTTTGTAAATTTATGAAAACATACTCAAGTTTTATAAAACTTGATTGTAATTAATCTATCATATAATATAATACAAATATTCTTAGACTCTCGTTCATTTTACTAGCATTGATTGACTATCGACAATTATTGACTAGTGCTTGATTGGCATTGACCAAAAAAAAATATTGTTATTAAAATATTATTAATTTAACATTTGCAAGTCAAACATCATAAAAATATTCAAGATTTTTAGTTAAAACTTTTCACATTTACAAATCAACCTCTTATACTATTAATACTTTAATATTTAAATGTTAAAATTCAAAAAATTTCAAGTCAAGCTCATAATTTTGTAAAACATAATTTGTAAATATGCAAAGTCGACCTATAAATATTAATCTATTAATATTGTAAGATTTTGATTTGTAAATGTAAAAAGTTTGAATTATAAATTTTGAATAATTACGTGTAAATATGTAATGCTTGACTTATAAATGTTAAAATATGAATAATTTAATAAAAATATTTTTTTAACCAATCAATGCTAGTTAGTGACTAATCGCTGACTTCCAACTATTAATCAATGACCGTTAGTGGTTGTCACTTGTCACCACTAATCAAAGGAGTGAGAGTCTAAAGACATTTGTATCATTTTACATAATAAATTAATTATAATTAAATATCAAGAGACATGTATGTATTTTTAAAAATTCATGCGACTTATTTATAAATGAGTTTTCATATGAGACTCATGTGTAATTTTTTATTTAGAAATTAGAACCTCATGGACCTCACATGTCAGAGCTAAATAGGAGTCATTTCTGGTGTGTGTGCGTGCAAGCATGTTTTCAAACAATATAATATATCTAACTTCTAAATCAAACATGAGTTATTAGAGTCTTTACTACAATTTATTTAAATGTAAATACTGTTGCTATTGTTCTCTGTTGAATGCATACTAGTCTAACGGAACTTTGTCGAATTTGCTGAAGGAGGTGTCCAGTTTGGTTGAATCTGCTGAAGAAGGAAATGTCTGATTTGATCAAACTAAATGTTAAAATAATTGAAATATTTTTGGATTAATTAAAACTGGAGCTGTTGAAGAGTTTGGAAAGGCCCCATGGCTTTTTGCTCTTTTCATAGACATGAAGTAACAAGTTGACACATTTCTACGGCTATTATTTACAGCTACTCCCAAAGTTTATCCACTCTTAGCTTATTTGTGGAATTGATGTATGGGTAATTTTCAGCTCCCATGACTTCCTTGAACTAGTTGGGTTTGAGCTAAAATTATTATTTTAGCCAAATAATTGTGCTCCAAGCAAAAATTAAATTTTAGGCTAAACAGATGTTTGAGGATTTAACACGGCACCTCAAAGAATCACGATTACATGCTCACGCAAGTCACGTTCATGATATGGATACAAATTGTATGACAGGACTCGAGCTTCCTAATAATTAAAGAAATTTACTTGGCTCATCGTGACATGTATCATGGTCTTGGGACAAACAGTCGCCGCGCCTTAACCATTTTTTTATGTTTTTTTTTTTTACGACCAGCGCCATCATGGTTCTCTCACAAATATTATACTTTCCCCTCACTTCAGTAGCCACCCGACCATTGATCTTAATATTTGAAATGTTAAAAAATATTTAAACTTTACGGTAAGAAATAATTAAAAAATAAAAAACTTCAGACACCTAACCTCACAAGTGACACGTTGCTAATCAGTTTGAACATAAATTTGGAAAAAAATGAATTTGAAATTATATTCAATGAAATTTTGCTGAAAAGGAACAATACATTTACGTGTTATGTTAACCTTTATTAATTACATAAAAACATGTTGAGAAAATAAAATAATAATAAAAAATCGTCAATCTCGAAATACATGAAATTTAAAAAAAAAAACAAATGTAGCCTTCGTGGTAAAACCATGAAGATATAATTTGGAGGACCTGAATTCCAAACCCAAAAAAGGATCTGAAAATGAATCTGTCCAAACAAGCCACGGTTGACATGATGACTCAGCTCAAGAAAATCTTCGAAGCTTAAATTATTTATGGATTTAAATCCCCTGAAGTGGGATAGCTGAATTTCTGTGAAGGTTCACTTTCTGAGAAAGTGAGAGAAAATTTTATATTTTATAAAAAATAATAAAATGAGAGAAAATACTAAAAAATAGAAAATTTTACCTAAATTCATCAATCCCAACTTTAGGGGATTTAAATCCATTATTTCTGATATTGCAAATTATGAGTGTCAAGATAATCTATTCACATGTCACGGTGGAGCTTTCTATTAAATGTTTGATGTTTCACTGAGCTTTACTAAATTACTAGCAAAACGTTCAATAATTCTATAAGCAATATTGCAATGAATCCCTACCTCTTTTCGGCATAGAAAATTAAATGATACATTTTTTGGGAGTAAATAAAAACCTACATTCTCCAAAATTTTCTCATCCAAGTTAGCATACATACGCATGGAACAGCAAGAACCAAAGTTTCTGCATGAATCATATCAACTTTATTCCAAAATAAAGTAGCAAGTGACAGCACGCATGAGCTGTTATTACTTCCAACTGTATTTGTTCTCCATTTTCCTTTTCTCTTTTTAGTGGGTTGGGGAAGGGAAAATATTAGGTCGTGGGATTGTGTTTGGATGAAATGAAAGAGCATTGAATTATCGCAAACGGGAACAAGTGCAAGGATTGTAGGAGAGTTTATGTACAAATTCAGAACTGAAGATAGCGATTAACGGAACACTAAGCAGATGCAGCAGCTTGTTCCTCAGCAG